AAATTGACGGAAATAGCTTGGGCACTTCACTCTACCATTATTGAAGCATCGTAGGAAAATGGTGGCAGCAAAGTGCTCATAAAACAAGCTGGCGTCGTAGCAAGGCCCATGTCAAATACCAAGCAACCAGCTCGAGCAAGGCCTGCAAACACTGCTACACTCAGAGATGCTCCTGATATTCGAGGGTCTTTGCCGAGTGATACTCTAACATCTTCCGCTGGACGTCGTTCTCGTTCTTCCAAGGCCCTGATAACCCACTCTCCAAAACTCTCGGCAATTACTTCCACCGCTCGAGGGGAAAGGTCCACGGTTCGACCCTTTTCGCCTTCCAATGCAACCCCCCGAACATCGGACCCGTTTTGGAGTCTCCTAATCTTGTCTATCTCTTCATCGACAACCACTTCATTGTACTTCACAGTGCTAGAAGAATTAACGCACATGACTTTGCTTGACCGCGATGAAAATGAAAAGCTAAGCGTCTTTTGCAATGCATCTTTAGCTGGTGATGGTGAGAAACTCGGTTTTCGAGCATTTCCTCGCAAAGGTATTGGGGATGTTGAAGTAGAAGCCATGGATTTCTGTTCAAGTTGGCGCTCTTGGTTTGTTTTAAAAATCCTGGAAGGGTGGGTTTTAGACCGATCGAGAAAGCTTTGAAAGATAAGATTAACCCAATAAACTATAACCCTACAATTGAATGCAGTACCTATCCATGAAATAAATATCTGTAAACAAACTTCCAAACGGCTCGATTTTTCCTTGTTTTATTTAATTGAAAACATTACTACTTTTTGTTCTTTTTTTGCATGATGTGCAATGATATTTCTCTGTACAAAAGAAAGCAACAGTATATTCTTCCGGAAGTAAATATCGTGGAAAAGAATCAAAGATATGCCAACCCTAAAAAATCTAAATATATTATCTCGTTTTTTCCTCATTGAAACGTGTGATATTCCCAAAAAAAAAAACATGAGATTTTACATAAAATAAATAAATTACACTTAATAAATCATATATATATATTTATGAACACTATACAACATTACTAGAGGGTTTCACTTACGATAGTTGGATAAGTAGTATAAGTAGTATAAGTAGTAATAAATCAACTTTTGGATGGGC